GACATTTTATGCATGAATGTTTGTTCCTTATTTATTTACTTTTTTACGGGTACCAGCCCAGAAAAATGGAACCGGGTTTTGAAATCGACGGGCGGGTACCCGGCACAGGCCTAATAGCAGCTCCAGCAGGAAGCATGTGGTATAGACGTGGACTTTCGAAGGGAACACAGTCGGTGCGTAGTTGAAGAAGCCAAAGGAAATAGAGTATGAGGAGTTGCTCTTGGAATGTGTGTCAGAGCCAAGCTACATGTATGTGAATTTTCCTGTTGCCGCAACTGTCTAGTCTGTCACAGTAATGTAAGCAGGAGGGCAGCCTGAGCCAGTGTCATGGATCTTGGTCCAAGCCCAGTGTACATGTAAGTGCAGACCCATTGTCACTGAGCTTTGAATGTTATCAGTCTGGGAGTGTCTGTGAAGGTAACTGCTTCATCAGAATAGTACAGGTTGGTAAAGAGAATGCTGCCTCAGTGATTCCCAACTCTCCTGACATTTTTCAAGGATCCAGTCATTGGTATGGCCAAAAAGAATGGGGGCAAGGGTGCATCTCTGATAAACACCTGAAGGTGTTAGGAAGGCTTCAGACTTATCAGTGTTAATCTGGACTCTGAACGTTGTGTTGTTGTGTAGGACCTTGATGAGGTGAAGGAGGAGTGTGGATGTGCTGAATGCCGTATTTCCACAAGTTATTTCTGTCCATCGAGTTGAAAGACCACATTGAGAGGCCTCATGAATTTGTGATGGAGTTCTGAAAGAAGCTGTAGAGCAAGCATGGGGTCCGTATTTGAGTGGCCCTTCGTGAAACCAGACTTCTGTGGGCAGCATACAGAGGTCAATAATGGTTGTAGTCTGGTGAGGAGTACACTCACATTATGTGACAGAAAATCTTCCTGGGAACTGATAAAAGTGTGGTTAGTTGATAACAACACACTGACTCTGGGAACCCTTTCCCTTGTAAACGAAAGTTATCATTTCACCCCTCTACTCTGCAGGCACCCTACATGTACATGTACTTGAGACCCAGACCTGGTTGTAGAGATCACAAATGGCCACACTGACAGTAGTCTTCCTACACTTCAGAAGCTCCGGCAAATATCAGAACCTAAGGCCTGGCCGTTTTTACCAGTTAGCTTTCTGGTGGCTTGACGTACATGTACCTTGATAAATAAGGGGGCATCAAAAGAGTTGCCACAACATCCAGGTAGCCTTATAGTGCTCATGCCAGTGAACAAGTCTTTCCTCAGTTGATGTGCAGGTGGTGCTGTCTGACTTTGAGATGAATGGTGTGATATGACTCTCCTTTAGAGTTGTAGTCATGGAATAGACTGCTTGGTAGGTTGGCCAAAGGTTGTTTGTGGAGAGCTCCATTTCGGTATCATCCGCACGTTGGTCTTTGCCTTAGATTTGAAGATCTCATTGAGCTGCCTCAGTTCTTATTGTCTTGAAGATGAGCAAGATGCTTCTTATCTAGAATGCTCAAGGTGGACATTAAAGCCAGGGACATCATTACTGTCCACTGAAGCCAGTGTTTCTCCATGGCTGCTGAAATATGACTTGATTTGAAGAGGGGCCAGAGATTCAGGGTCATCTGGCAGGGTTCCAGTGTACTCTTGCCAACTCATTTGTAACAGTCTAAGGGTCACAGCTAAGGTGTGACATGGTGAGAATGTTCCAGGTAGTGACGCAACACCAGCAGTTGGTCTGAAACCATCCTGAAGAAGTCTTAAGGAATCAGACATACATGTACATGTACATACACATGTACATATCGAATCAGGACGCTGGTCAACTTGTGGTTGCGTAGTGCTGCAAGTAGGGTGAGAGGGAGGAGGTATGATGTACTCTAACCCTTTGTTATGATCATTGAACATGTTGGTGTGTCAAAGAGTTGATTAGTTTTGCCATGAAGAGGGTTTTCGTGAGTATGACCTTTACAAGTAACATTTTCCAGTGCCAGATCAGATGGAGAGGCCAGCATATTCAAATTTTTTCCAGCGAATCACTGGTGTTGGAATTTTCATGAGAAACAAGTGTAATTTGCTGAGTATACGCTTTGACAAAACTTGCCTCAGTATACTCTAAACTATATACCATTTTATGCCAATCAGGTTTACCATATGGGTTCCTGTGCTTGCTCAAGGACATGGTTGTAATGCTTTATTGATAATACATGTAACATGAGCCTGTCAGATTAGACATTTTGCATCCAGTAACCAGTGGTTTGCCCTGGACTGAAGGTGTAGCCACTGGTGTTTTCTGAAACACCAGAAAAAACACTGAGGGAACATGCTGGGCCTGACATGCATATGGCTACATGTACATGTAGCTTTCTTTTTTGAAAAAAAAATGGTTTATGGGGCTGGTACATGTACATGTACAGTACATACAGTAACCCTGATACATGTAATACAATATTACATGTACATGTATGTGCTCCAAATGTAGGTAAAGATGAGGTAGAATTACATGTACATACACTTTGCAAGCATTGTTGAAAATAAAAAGTAAAGCCAGACCACATACACTGTAAATGAAATACTCCAATGGGTTCCAGTTAACATTGGCAAAATTTGTAAAATGATTGTAAACTGTTTTGTTTACCTTATACATGTACATGTATGCAGCACCTTTAACATGTGTGCATGCATGATACACACGTACTTGTAGGAATAGAATCAAAACTGTTCACTGGTATTACAATATTTTCCATGTTAATCAGGAAAATTTTATACATGTGTAAGTTGATTATGTTAATTGATCAAGGTGAATTGGCATTAAAACTCAGTGTTTTTCTTTTGTGGGGGCTAAGGATTCTATGGAAGTGAAAACAGTAGCAGTACATGCACCCACTCCGGCAATGTGGAGTGGAACCCATCTGGGAATGGCATGAACTTCTTGGATTTTAACATCCCCATCATTTCACTCTTCAATGAGACAGAAGTGGATTACCTGATACAGGTTAGTGAAAGGAGGAGAAGCTTGATATTTTCTTAAATTAAACATTTACTATACCTCACTGGTTTGGAAAGAAATATTTGTCAATGTTGCAGTCCGGCCCCTGGCTGATTGCTCAGAGGTGGTAGTCCATTTGCCATTGAAGGAGGAATTGAAAGCTGAATCGCAGGCAAGAAAAAAGATAGAGATGGATGGTCAAAGGAAATTACAGGAGTCTCACACTTCTATGGGATTAGCCCAATAATATATTTATTCCACGGTAAACTTGGCTTGAGTTATACATGTACGTGCACGTGTAAGTAACCCAAAGCGTAGCTACTGATTAACCACATTTTTTGAAGCTTTAGAGGGCATTTCAAATTTTAATGCTTTAATGTTGATGCTATGTACATGTATGTGTATTGTTTGTTGATCCTTAATGACACTAAATACATTTAGCATAACTGGTTTGATAAGCCATAAACACCCCTATTGATGCCAGACTCTGACCCTTTGGCAACTTCAATTAAATGTTCTGCTTTGGATGCTTCAGGGTTGACAATTTTTGATCAAACAACAAATTACAATCTTTGTTTTTTAAACTTTTTTCTATACATAAATGAGGATAAATTGGGATAATTACATGTATCTGTTTTCAAAGCAAGTAAATTTGTTGAATGTGTTCATGGGCAATCTCGTATGGTATGCTTGATTAAAATTCACTTGATTAAGAAACTTTTGTTACTGGTTTCACTGCCGAGTAACCAACACTTCTTACAGTAAACATGTATGTCCTTGATATACATGTACAAGGGCACTTGTTGAAAAGAAAGGTACACGTACAATACGGTAGATTTACACTGATACCTTTATACATGTTAAATGCAGAAGTGGATACTCTAAATACCAGTAGTGAAATTAAATCATATTTATAAATCTTTCCCTTGAATTCTTGCACTGAATCCAGTCGAAACAGAGGACTTGAATTGAGGAAGAACCCAGCCACCCTAGATTATGTGTAATGCATAATGCTTGCATACATGTACATGCACATGTAATTTTTCTTCAAAAACCACTCCTTTTCTGGTCAGACTAGAATATGAACCATCTTCTTGCAATGTTGACACTGCATTGTTCACAGCAGTCTTGCAACCAATCCTCACTAATTTTACGTTCACATTACATGTAGTCTTAGTGATAGAGGGTCATTATTTGGGCCCTTTAATTTAGCTCATGTACCGGTACATGTAGACTGACCCATGCTTCGTTGTAAACAAAATGTCATACAAGACCTGCTTTTGCAAAAAACAATTGAAAAAAAACCAAAATAAATAGGCATAAAATGCAATCATTCAATGAGACAATGTAATGCAGGCGTAGAGACGAAATACATGTACAGTACTAACAGATTTTCATTTTGCTAATGACTGTATGCATTTATATTGCAGTGTTACAAGGATCACAATGAACCAGTGGACAGTCATCCACGGCCATATCCATTATGTGCCGCTGAGTTACATTCATTCATGTTTGGAGCTAAGGATACACCAACATGTATGAGACGTACTCAACAGACAACTAATCTAGAAGCATGTAAGTCTGTCAAAATCCCAGTGTTGTATTTGAGTCCATCACAAGTCCCTGCAAGTCCATCACAAGTCCCTGCAAGTTCATCACAAGTCATTCAATCTTAGCTAATTTACAAGCTATTCAAATGAGCTGTGACAAAAGTATTCTTTTGTCATTGTACACCAGTTACTTATATAACTGACCATGTCAAGGGACTTGTGACTATACATGTACTTTTTGAAGGGACTAGTGAATAGACTTGTGAACACTGCAAAATACTCACTCTTATTACTGTGGTATAGCCTGAATGCACAGTTAAAGAAATTGCTGTATCTTGCAGGTACACTGTTTAATTCAGTGTGTTCCCTGAGTATTGATTTTTTTAGACTAACCAAATAATACTCAAATATTGATGCATGTGCAGTACTTCACAGTACAATGTGCATTGCATTTGAAAGTTAATGCTGCAAAAACAAATGGGAAAAATTCGAAAGGAATTCGCATTTGTATTTACATTTGCATTTCACATTTTGACCACAGCTTTTCCCCAGCAAAGTCGCAGCAAATTGGCAGCAAACCAGTCAAATGGGGCAAATGACGAGTGAAAACAGTGCAAAAATTGTGCAAAAAATGGGGCACATTTTTGCAAATGTGGCGTGAAGGGATCTCAGGTTTTTACCTCCTGTACATATTCTGGTGATATTTTGACAAAAGCCCACAAATGTGCATACATCCACATGTACCGGTACATATCGTGCACATGTATGTACCGTGTATAGACTCCAAAACCTTGTGAAAGAAATTGGTGTGTGAAAACAGTGGGCAAGTGGTGTGGAAATTTTGTGAAAGCGGTGCGAAAGGTTGCTAAAATAATGCAGAAACTTGCAAAAACGAGGAGCATGGTGCAGTAAAATACATACACCGATCCCAGACACACAACTATTATGCAGTGAAGAGTCCATTCCAAAGGCTGCATGATTGCATTAAGATACTACATCTAATATTTTGTTATTTAAAGATTTCTTTCTACCAATAAATAAAATTAGCAACTAAAATTGTATGTGTATCTTCGTGTAGCAAATCTTGCCTTTTTGCAGATTGTGTTCGGCATGTTCGGCGTGACAAGTTACCAGTATTTGGTTATTAGAAAAAGTCAGTGATTGTACTGTCCATTAATGTGTACACAGTTAGCAGTCAGGATGTTGCGCAGGGGTGAGATTTCTCAGCTTTTCAGCTGATTTCAGCTACCGGTAGCTTTATTTTGGATTTCACCTTTTTTACTCACTGGCTGTGTACAAAAGTATAGGAGATTTTCACATTTTAATATTAACTTTCAATTGCATTGTACATCTGATGTTCATGAAATCCCTTCCTCACCCATATTTACATTGTGCATTTGTTGTAATACATGTACATGTACATACCGTACCGTACACATACTGTACATGCACATGGGTCACTCTATAAATTCAGGGTCCAAAAATACTTGTACGATATTCTTGAGTCCCAGTTACACCTGACCAGTGTAATCTGATATGGAAATATAGACACTGGTTAAAAATATCGGTAGGGCTGGCACCCGTACTGATGTAGACATGAAAACTACATTTTGAGCTCTGCAATGCACAAAGGAGAGATTTATGATCTCAGGTTTTTACCTCCTGTACATATTCTGGTGATATTTTGACAAAAGCCCACAAATGTGCATACATCTACATGTACCGGTACATATCGTGTACATGTATGTACCGTGTATAGACTCCAAATTGCATGACCATGCAACTGGTACAGTAATGATTAAATTGAAGTACTCCTCGCACTCGTACTCGCTCGAAGTTTCCGCTAAACCCTCGTATCTCCTCGTAAAATTTGCTGCCGGTAACGAGCGCTTGCGGGTACCCGCGAGCATTTACGAGCGCTAGCGAGCGCACACGGGCGCTATCGAGTGCAATAAACAGCGAGTGCATACGAGGGGTCACTCATGCGCAACGGGTGACCTCGGTGGAAAGCCCGGTCTGCCGGCCCGCTTGCGAATCGGTTCCCCCACACTGACGTCGTGCATACAAGTCCAGTACATTGTGTTTCGGGACACCGTCCGGCCCGGACGGTAGGAAGACCTGCTCGTTCTGAGTGTGGTGGAAGTGCAATATAAAATCTCATAACCTCTGTAGAAATATCCTGAAAATTTCAGACAGGAAACGGTGGTCGTGGAAAGCAACGTACACGTAATGACATGATTTATATTGATCAATGTCTGATTGCTCGTTTTATTCCGTAGCTTTTAGCGAGACATAGATCTTGAAATTCTGGTGCTTGAAAACTTTGTGGAATAAAAAATGGTTGAATCACTGGCCCGGTAACTATCTAAGACTAGGACTAACACATTGGTGTCATGGGCGCCAATTTTTGGCAGAAACGGTGTGTTTTAAATTTATTATCGTTGTTATTGATACTAAATCATAAATGCTGGGATTGTTTTCTCTTTTTTTGAAACGTTTTGGATCTGGGAGTCTTCTAACCGGCTACTGTTCTTTTTTCCCTCTGTTTCTTTGTTTTGTTGACAAGAGCTGTAGAAACATGTTGACCAATAATTTAAAAATGGGCTAAGACACATTTTACTGATTTGTAAATCAATACGCCTCTGTTTGCCTCAAGTTCTGAATGGGATTGACCAATCAGAGAAACAGTAAATTATTCTATACCTACCTTGGGAACTGCCGTACCTGCAGGTGCATTGTTCTGTCGTCGTCCAGAGAGCAAGTTGCAACACTTAAATGATGTGAATTTATTAGCAATGTGCAGTTTGGTTGTTGGGAATTTAACAAAACTAGAGTGAAACCCCATTTTCTTTGAGTTCACTTTAATGAAGTGTCTGAAGATGCCTTTAAAAGCGAAGACTTTTCTGTAAAGTGACATCTTGTGAAAGGGTGGCGTTGTTATAATCAACACATTTCCTTCACCAAAGGGAAATTATTAGTTGGACACTTTATTGGCCCATTTATTACGGAAAACACAGTGGTCCTTTTTGTGGGGCTCAGAGGAGTCTGTAGAGCGAACACTTCATTGATTTTTTACTTGATTTCTGCTGCACATATTTTTCCCCCGAAAAGTGAATAAATAACCGAGAGAGACAAATGGGTATTTTAGGTCAATTTTAGGGTTGTTCGTTGCTGATGTATAGGCAAGACTGCCGGAGTCGACCATCTGGAGCCGTTTGAGGGTGCTTACGTGGACATACAGGTGGGTGTGGACAGACGTGTGTTTACGTGGAAATATGGGTGCAGACGTTTCTGTTCTGGTGCCCGCGAGGACATGCAGGCAAGTGGGTGAGTGTTTTCATGAAGGCGCAACAACAAAGCCCGAGTCTAATAAATCGAGCTTATGCATGTAGGAGGCTGAGCAGTTTATCGGGCAATTTCAAAATAC